AGTTGCAGAACTGAGAGTTGATACTTCTAGAATTACATATTTAATATTTAGTTTTCTTCAATACTTGGAGGTTTTTTAAGTCATCCATTTCTGAAACCCTTTAGTGAGTAGGTCAGCACTGTTGGGAATCTGATTTTGACTGTGCTACTGTTTATCAGTGATTTTCACACCTGCAGCTTCCACAGTCCTGACCTCCCAAACAGTTCGTGCAGAAGCTGTTCATTAATGTGAGTCAACAGATTGGTATTGGTTAAAATATATTCATAATTCGAGGTTACTGAACTGTGTCTCTAACAACAAGTAGCATTAAGAGGGAGAAGATTTTTCACCACAGACATCCTGTGTGCTATTCCTTGTAGTTGTTTTTTTGGGTTTTTTTTTGTGTGCTAAGTTTACACCTTTCAGATGTCTTTGACATTGATCAGTACTGACCTTAATGAGTTCTCTTAAGAAATAATAATGAAAGTATTTATTTAGGTGTGGTGCTGTTCTACCAGGAGCTCCTCAGTTTGAAAGCTGCTTTCTTATCTAAACTGATTCCATCTGCATTTTAGTGGTTGTGAGAAACATCCCTTCCTGGATGTAGTGGCTCTGAGTTTTGTGGGGGTTATTTTTGTTTGTTTGTTTTTCTTTTGGGTTCTTCCCTTAAACTGTTCTGTGCCTGCTGTGCCCCTGGCAAATCAGTGACAATCTGCCTCTTAGCCAGTGTGTTGGATACAGATGCATAATGCTGTTATTAAATCCCTTTCCTCAGTCAACAGGATTGATAACAATGTTATAAGACAAACATATTTCTGTTACTATTTTCAACCTATTTAACTTATTTTTTTTAATTACCTCAGCATTCACAAAGAAAGCAAGGTTTAAAAAACAGTATCCAGCATCTCCAAGACCCCAGCTGCCACCTGCTTCATACACTTATTCATGCTTTTCCTTTTCCAGACCTATTCTACTCTTTGTTCTCTGTGACTAGATATGAAGTACGCTGTTTTATTCTGTTTCATTCTGGAGATAAGTAGAAGAAATTAGGAAAAAAATCCATGCCTGTCTTGATTGTGGCATTTTAAGAGTGTTTTTCTTTTCTGTTTTGGGGGAATTTTATTAAAATTTTTAAGATAGAATGTTTACAACTCACTGAGCATCATCTTGGGACTTAGAAACGAATAATAAGTCTAACATAAAATAATTACTTTTCCTAAAAATGTTTGTTTTATTACCTACCCCTACTTCATTTCATGCATGGGGGAATACTACTGAACTCCGTAATGCACATTACAATTTGTTCCTAAATAGTCATATCTTTCAAACAGATTAGCATGAAACAATTTGAGGAGTAAGTACCTAATTCAGATGGATAAAACAACTCATTCCTTAGCAGTTTCCCAGTTTTAGGGTAAGAGGATTTACTGTTGCATATCTAAACCAAGTAGACAAGTGCTCTTTTTCAGCACCTGTTAAAAGAATGAGCTCTCTTTTGTTTTCAAACAAAATTATCCTACCATAGGAAAGCAGTTTATCCAACATGGGTAGTTGAGGTTAGGGTATTTTGCTTTTTAAAAAGCTGGTGTGTGTAAAATGAGGATTATGTCATGTTGTAAGCATTTCTTAAAAAAAAAAAAAGAGAAAAGAAATAATAGAAAATTTAATCTTCATTCGTTTTTAGAAGTATTAGGAATGTTGCAACTAAAACAGGCCTTCATGCAACATAAATGGTCTGTCAGTTACTGAGGGGATTATTGAGAAGGTAGAAGTCTTTGAATTCAATACAATTCTTCACCATTATTTTGAAAACGTATTTTTTCAATATTGTTTTTTGTTAGAAGTAAGATGTCCAATTAGTTGGGTCCCAGTCTATTATAAACAAAACCAAAACCAACTACTCTGAGTTAGTGTTGCTGTACTGTATTTGATGAGGTGTTCTTATTAAGTAGTGCAAACTATTTTGCTTTCTATTAATAATTTTACTAAGGTATTCCAGCACAGAAGAAGGGAAGGGGCAGGGATAATTTTTTAAACTCTTTTCATAATTTAATATGTACCTCTTAGTTTCTGGATTGTATTGCCAAAATGTTATGACCTTGTTCAAAACTCTTCCAGTGGGTTATTGTCTTCACTCGTTGGGATGAGCCATGCATAGTTTTACTACAGAGAATATTTTATTCCTTTTTTTCTTTTTTGGTCATTTTAGCTGAAGTTAAATCTGAGATTCACTATGGAAACTTCCAGCTGCTGACTACATCTGATGCTGCCAGAATGTGATAACCTACTTTGGTAAACATGTGCAGTTTTTACCCACGGTTCCCCAAAAGATAAAATTAAAAGTCAAAGATTTGTGATGAGAAGAGAACCACTTCAGACTTACAGTGAAATAGAAGTGTGCAAGTACCCCTAAAGTTGGACAGTTACAGGATGTTTAAGTCATGCTTGTTTTCAGGCAAATGCAGAAGAAAGACTTCTTATATACTAAGCTTTGACATATCTATCCTTCATGTGGAAGATGTGTGATAAAAGCACATGTAACTCTGTTCTATTATACCCAACTTCTCATTCATTATGTAATGACTTCTTCCATGTACTCTCAATGTATGAATGTATTTATTAGCTTTGGCATTGGGGCTTACTTTTAACATTTGGAGCACAGAACATAGTTTGCAGAGTGTTTGGGGCAGCAGGGAGTCAAGTTTGGTTCTCACATAATTAAAAAATGAACAGTGCTTTTGCAGGGCCTCTTATTCTGCCTCTCTCTTGTTGAGCTCATATGTTGCCTGGGAAAGACCAGTGAGCAGCTCTTGGAGATGCAGTTTACATCCATAAATTAACTAAGAACATCCAAGGGCAGTTGCTAAATGCATTAATAATTGTGCACACATGTAGTTTTGTTGTTTACAGAGCAGTGGATAGCACCCTGGAGAAGCAGCTAGTGGTGTGCAGAGGAGCAGCACATGAATGTAGATGGGCAGGGATCTCATTTTCACGTGGGCATACTGGAGAAGCAAATGGCTTGATACTTCATTATGTTATATATCTGTGTATTGATTTTGCCTCATGAAAATTCAATGCAGTTTCTCTCATACAAATGATGAAAGCTCTGATTTTTGCTTTGGGAGGGTAAGTGGCAAAGGCAATGGGTCCAAAGGACTTAGACAGAAGTATCCCTAGAATTCCTAGATGTAAATTCCCATAACCTCTCAAGCCATAAGACTTTTGAGACACTTAATAATTGTTGCACTGAAGTGTGTCTATTGACACGTGTAGGTACAAATTAGGATAAAGATAAGGGCCACAATTGTATGAAGTTGAAGAAGTACCCTGGTTAATACCCTTTCTTCATCTGAGGTTAACTCTGTAACTGGAGGCTGGAGATTAGGTAAAACATAAAATACCTTCTACTAGTATAAAATCTTCACGTGATTTTATCTTAGTTTTCAAATGTTGTAGTCATACGGGAAAAATATATATTGGATCTCAGCTTGTAGTCACCCTTTGAATTTTCTTATTAAACAGTTTTCAAGTTCTTTAGATATCAAAACCCTCATATATTTTAGAAGAAACAACCTTTTCTGTTCTTAAATTTCTGTATTTGGTGTTAAGTTTGATATTTGCTGTTCAAAAGTGTCTTATAACTTGGGCTGACCTTTCCAAATACTTGGTTTATACAGGACTGATGACACGTTACAGACTTGGAAACTTGTTATCTTAAAAATTTAGAAGAATACATTTAATAAGACAGGAACCTTGGCAAAAATTTTTATATGCTTTCAACTTAAATGTTGAGATGCCAACTCAGACAAAACATTCAGATATGGTTTTATAAGGGTAAATACTTTCCTAAAATAGCCACGTTCAGGAATCTAGTAAAATTTCACACATCCCACATATCCAGAACAACTGTTGCTAGAATTTAAACAGTTTGTGTAGAGATACCCAAAATCAGAACTGTTGCCTTTGGCAATGAATCCATACTTATGTTACCAAACTGTACTGAAAGAGAAACTTTTCCATCTTGTACTGCTCCTCCTATTTTAATTTTTAAACACTCATGTAATATCCTTGTGTCTTCTTGTACTTACATTTAATGTGAACACTGTGGAGGGATTTAGAGGTTCCAGAATGTCCTCAACAATGTCCTGAGAGCTTCATAACACTCTAAAATAGTAATGTAGAAGACTGATTATCCTCCTACTTTGTCTTCACCAGAATTTATTGCTGTAAGTGTGTGTAAGAAACATGCCCTTGGTCATTCTTGAATTACATGTATTTTAAAAAATCCTTGAAAACACGTCTTGAAATATTTTTCCATTACTGCTAGTGCTTGACATTTAGTAATAACTTAGAACTTTACCATATTTTCTTGCAGTGTCCTAGCTGAAGAGCTGAAGATCTCCATGCTCTAAACACTTCTAGTTGGAAGTGACTCTAAAGAATTTGAAAATATGTGTTAATAGAAAAGTTTATGCTTTTAATATTGCTATCTGAGTAATGCTTGGATAACTGATGGAATATAAGAAAATACTTCAATAGTTGAGGAAGGCTGCTCAGGAATCATATGAGACCACATAAAACTGTGTATGTTTGGTGGAGTTTGTGTTATCTGTGTATTTTCATCAGTGACCAATATAATCACTCATTTTCTGAAATGCTTTACAAGACTGATTCCTTCGAAGAAAAAAAACCACAGGAGTGACTTAAACAATTTTAAATAAGTTCCTGTAGCTACTGAGGGCAAATGCTCACCAGAATCAGCATCACTTATAACCACTAGAAAAAAAAATAGAAGGGATTTTATCACAGCTGATAGATTGTGAGTGAAAACTGCATAAAATTATGTGTCAGACTGCACTCTCAAGTTCTTTGCTATTACAGGTATTGCTGATGAGAAGTTGGGGTAGGGTAATTGCTCGTGTGCTTGTACTTAAGCAGACAACTTTGTTTCTGTGCAAGGAGCACCCTCAGTAATGTGTGGTTGTAGGTATAGCCTGAACTTTGTCTTCTCTTTGCAGGCAGAGCTGGTTGATGTGCAGTATGGCACCATGGAAGACCTGCTCCGGATTCAAGCCATTACAAACGTGACCAAAAAAATTGCACTTTTGAAGCTAGGACAATCACCTTTGCTTTATAAGGTTAGTCAGAACCTAGTTACGCATTAGCTGAATTATTCACTTGTTTGGTTTTTTTGTTTTTGGTTGTTTTTTTTTCAGTTCCAAAATATCGAAACAAAGACTTTCCCATTCTGTCCCAGTAAGTCAGGACTTACTGGCATTCACATTCTTCCTTAATACACATTCTTCCTTAATACTCACCACTTCGCTCTGCAGTGCCTTTTATGTGTTACAGTTATTTATGTTGCTGCATATCTTGCAGTGCCCCACTAGTCTGTCATATTTTTCCTGGGTGTACTGTGAGCCTTTTGGCAAATAAAGAAATCCCTGAAAGAAATAATAAAGCATGAGGGAACAAAAAAAAGGCAACTGATATCAGGAATAGTTTGATCTGTGTCTCCTAAAAATGTACATAGAACAGTGCACTGAAATCTTTTGTTTCTGCATAATTGCACGTAGTACTTGGTTTGATGGCTGTAGTTGTGTGTAGTTTGGCTCAGCATATTGTGAGAGGAGGCAGAGCACAGTCTATGCTCACCTGAGCTCAGGCTTCTGTGGGTCTTTCCAGCCCTGCTGGGCTGTGTCCAACATCCAGCACTTGATGTTATGCTGCCAGCACTCAGATTGCAAGGTAATCACAGTAGCATACACTATGGGAGGACTGACACTAGTGTTTATGGATTTAAGAAATGACATTGTAACTTGGTTTCTTCATGGCATTTTGCAGCCTTGCTGTGTGCAGAATTTGCCTTTGCCACCGTGTTCTTCTTCCACTCCCTCTTTTCTCCTTCTTTGGTTGAGATTATGTGTTGGGAGGGCTGCACATGGGTACATGTGTGTCCGCCTTCTCCTCCAACTCGAGTGCTGGCAGAAAGCACAGAGCAGGAGCTCACTAATCCATTTGCACATTAAATGTAATAGAGTCAACATACAAACCACATTTAAACTCTAAATGCCCAGTAACTGCCTTCTGTTGCAAATAATTTATAGGCAAAAATGCTGGTTTGACGTTCAGAAAATACACTGAACCAATAAATACTTAAACAACTAATTCGCAAATTAACAAATGCAATTATAAAGGAGCAGTGACTCCAGATCTTGCCATTAAAAGGATCAGGATCTGCTCTGTTGGACATGGAAAGTTCAGTCGGGACCATAACACAGGTTCAGAAAACAGCCACTTACTATTTTTTCTATAGGAATAAGATTTGTCTCAATAAAAATGCCATTTTCAACGGAGTAGCTTTAGCTGTTTATTTAAATTATTTAGATGCAATTTAATTACGCTCTTGAAAGGTCAGTTGTCATTGCTGGAACTTGGCTGTCGCGCATCGTTTCCACCAGTAGATCTGATGCTGCATTTCACCACTGACAAAAACAATGAAATAGCAATCAGGGCTCACAAAGTAGGGATTTGATAAAGATGTAAAGTTTGCTGTAACAGCACTGTCTCTGAGATGGGTTTTTTACCCGTTTGTGTTCCTGTGAGGATGCACTATGTCTGAATTAGGAAAGTGTACAGCCTGAAGGAGGAGGGGAAAGCAAATGGTGCTGACAACAAGGCACATCTCAGGAGCTTTTTGTGTGGGTTGGCTGTAGCCTGGTCCCAAATATGTGCTATTTGGTGGCTGAGGTGCATTAGCTACATTTCTCATACTCAGCTGCTGCTCCAGAAGAATCCATTTTGCACATCCAGGGTCTGTTATACAGTATGAACCAAAGTGTGGTATGATCAGGAGGCTGATTTTGAATGCACACTCAGGATCTGAGCTAAAAATACACTCCCCAAGCCTTCTTTCTGTGTTCCCCTCATGCAGGTAGGAAGTTTGCCCTTTTTTTGAGGCTATATTTTAGAATATAAATTGTCTCTCTTTTGCAGTGAAATAATTGTAAGCTTTACTTTTCTCATAAGAGAAGATGTAGAAAGATTATCAGAAATAGATTCTCCTTTCATAAGGAATATTTGAAGTGAAAGATTGCCTTAAACAGCAAGTCCTGTTGGTTTAAACAGGCCCAGTATCTCACTACTAAATCCACTTTTTGTATCTTTTTTCCACCCTAATGTTTATGTTTCCGCACTTATTGAGTCTCACATTTCTGTTTCAGCAGATACTTTCCTCTCCCTATATTTTCCTTATCTCTGTCTTCCATGTGCTTGGTTTTACATCACATTAAAACAGAACACTAGTTCATAAGAGAGCTGTGGCTATATATACGTATATATTTGCTACTTTTCTTTCTCATTTCTGTATTTAACTTGTATTTTTCATGTTTTAATGTTCTTTAATTTCTCATTATTATTACTTTATAATACACAAATATCTCACTCTGGATTTGAGTTTTATTTTTATAGACCCTGCACCAAGGTTTAATCTTCATAACAGGGTTTCTAATTATGTCTCTACTTTTCAGCTTGCATTTTCCCTTTTGTGAGTATACTTTTTCTCTCTTTCTCTCTCTCTCTTTTTACTACCATCAACAACTGCTGTTCTTCTTGTGTTTTTTTTCTATTTCCCCCTTTTGTGTATTTAATGTGCCTTTTTTTTTTTTATTTTGACTACTGTTTGTTCTCTCCATACTGAGTCCATTGAAAAAGACCTGAAAGAAATAATAAACTGCTGCTGGCAGAAAAATCACCATGAAAACTGAACAACATTTCTTTAGTCTTTATATCACATTAACAGAAAGGATGTGCTGGTAGAAAAGAGCTTCATGTGCAAGGGGATAATTTATAGACATAAGCCCAAGTGATGGAAATTTGAATATTTGGAAAGATAATGGTATTAATGACAATGTTTTTGCAGTAGAGGTTTGGTATGTGGAGATTGGATAGGGTACAAAATTTGGGGAAGGATTAAGATTGAAGATAATTTGGAGCTTCTACTTAGTCTTTCAGACTGGGCCCATCTCTCATATCTTCAGACACATTGAAAACAACAGACACAGTTCAGAGCTTGGAGTAATTTGAAATTGGAATATACAGGGAATTTGGACTATGCAGAAAAGCCTGAATTCAATGTGCTGTTAGAATATGCAGTTTAGTCTTTAACATGAGTAATTCTGATTAAATTTGGTAAGGTTCATAAATTGAAGCTGCTTTGTAAGAACAAGATTTTCAGGAATCTGACCTGGGGTAATTTTTGTAATTGGATATGATTTTCAGATTTTATTGGGAGTGTTGTATTTCTGTTCCACTGAAACAGAACTTAGTGTCTGTTCAGGGCAAGAGGGGCAGGAATGACGGCCATGGGCATATGCCCAGAGGATTGGCAGAGCCAATCTCAATCCCTTAAACCAGATCTTTGCAAACAAACAATATGTTACTACAGCCACATCATAAGTTACAGCTATAAAGAGAAATAACATGAATCCTTCCTTGATAGCAGGGTATCAACAAGAGCATTGACTCTATGGTGGGAAAAAGAACCCACAAAAAACCAAAACAACAACCAAATAGTTTACATTGCTGTGATAAAAAGAATAGATAAAAAAGGGATATGTATTTATATATATAAATCAGACTGGAGCAGAGGTTTGGGAAAGGGGTTTTACCATTGTTAGGGCACCGCTAAGGTAAATTAGGGAGCAAGACTCTTTTATAAAATTAATATAAAAAGTGAAGAAAAGAATGGTAGAAATGCTTCAAGGGCTGGAGCATTTTTAGTATGGCAAAGGCAGAATCATTTTCAAATGCAACCAAAATGTTTAGGAATTTGCTGCTCCCAGCACCTGGAGTGACAGTTTCCTATTGCAACATGAATTGAGCCAGCGGACTGAGCAGGGAAGCACAGAGGGAGTCCTCATGTGACATGTTAACTTGGCATAACCATGGTCTGGTCATTTTGGACTCATTAGCCCAAATAATTCACAGTGCTGAAAAACTGACAGAAGGAAAAAATGTAAACTGTTGTGACAACTCCCAAAGGGATCTTGTGGCTTAGTCTGAGACAACACTTAAGAGCTGGATTGTTTCTGAATTAAGAGGGAGCTGCATTAAGGAAGAGGAAAAACTTTCTTAAGGAGGGAACTGAAATGAGACAAATGTAGAACAGAAGTGAAGCACAACTTCTGGAGTGAGCTGCCATAGAAAGAAGTAGAATCCTTGCTTTCTCATACCTTGAGATTGAAAGGGACCTGTTCCTGGTGTTCTGGGTAGAAGGAAAATTCATGTGTCAGTGGAACTCAGGTTGTTGGGATCACTGGTGAGATTGAGTGCACAGTCACAGGAGGTCAGGGCAGACCACTGATGTCCTTGAACCACGAGGATCAATAAACGTGGGGAAAGATGATGAAGTTTGTTACTAGTGATTAAGCAAATCACTCATGTGATGTAGAACACCTTCTTGAGAAAGAGCACCTTGAGTTGCCCACGGTGTTTGTAGAGAACATATTCTAATAGTATAGAAAATGTGTGGTGACAGAAAGATTGAGAAAACCACCTCACTAGCACCCAGCTCCTCTGCTCTAAAGCTGCTCTGTGTCACCACTGTGAGCACATACAAGAAACCAGAGGAGGCTTTTTAAGAGCGAACTGCACAATGGTTTCAGTATCCAGCCTCTGGAAATACCATTAACAGATTTATTTTTTGAAAAATGTTGTGAGTCTTGATCATGATTTAATCTTTAGGGGTTGCAATTCATGAAAAAGCCATAATTTTTGTCCTAAATTAACTTTTAATAGAGTAACAAAAGCCCTGAAGGCCAAACCACTTCATCTTTAATATGTTCACATATTAACATTTTTTCCACATCCATTAAATGAAGATGTTGTTCTACCATGTAAATATCTATATTTATTTTAATAATTTACTGCCTGCATAAATATTCATAAAATTGCTTTTTAACTGTCATAAAGTTTAGGAATGTGGATGCTTGGATGTTTATGCAGAGGTTATTGGCAGGCTCTTGCGGATAAGGATTTGCTAAATGGAAAATATTAAAGATTCCCAGAATAAAGGCAATTTGCAAAAAGGCTTCAATTTAATAACTGTGTTAGTTTTAAATAAGTTTACTTTGGAAAA